TGTTATTCTATGCTATTCTGCAGAAAGTGCTGAGCTTGAAGATTGAACCTGTAAGGTACTGAACAGTAGTGTTGTTTGCTGCTTTAAACCTATACTGGCAGGACACAAAGTGAATTTTCTACCGGAATGGAATTGGTTTTCAGTTCTTGTCATGCTTTTGTCTTCCAGCGTGACATCCCCACTGTAAATGGCTTTGTCTGTGGACTCAGCTTTGTATCGCTGGCAGCGGCTGGGAGCTCACCATCCCTCCCAGGCTCTCTCAGAATCAACACCACTACTCTCTTCTGTCAGAGACAAACCTAAATTCAACTTAAACAAATGGAGGATTGTGTTCCCTAACAATGGGAGGCAGCAGAAAGACCGGGACCAAGCTGCTAGATTTTATCCTGGAAACAGGATACAGACCACAAAATACACCTGGCTCACTTTTTTGCCCAAAAATCTCTTTGAACAGTTTCACAGGTAAAAGCTCATTGAAGGACATGTGATATTTGAGAATTCTCTCTGAAGAACAATATTTGAAGGTGCTGGGGAAGGGCTGCTTTTGTTCTTATTATATTACTAAAATGTAATTGATTGTTTATCTATACCCAGCTATTAGCTGATTCACACTGAAATGGAGGGTTAAAGTGAATAAATGCTGTGCGCTAGCCTATGCTGGGTCTAACGTGCTATTTTTGATCCTGAGGCCAGCTTCCTTGAGTGCTGGAGCGGTCCTCTATGTAAAAATTTCAAATAACTTATTTAAAAACTCCTCTTTTTCTGTGTTGAATAAACCTCTAATTTTTAAGAACATGAGACATTTTCATTGGATGTGTTTGAGACATCTATTAAATTCTGGAGAAGTTTTCAGAGTCTTATACATAACTGTAGTACATTTTTTAGGGAATTTAATTGAGTTTATCACCATCTTGTAAACAGTATACATATATATCTATACCGTATTGTATATCAAAAATGGCTAGTGCTAGGTCAGGTTTCTTTCCAAAGCTTGATGTGGCGTGAGGTACCCCAGCATAAGGAGTCATGTCAATAAGATGCCTGGGGAAATATCATTATGATAAAGATAAATGAAAGCTGTCTATCCATCTCTAGCTTTGAAATTTCTGTTCGGTATATTAGATTTATACCTCTGTAATTTCATCTTCCATTTTCCATATTCTTGCTAAACTCATGAAGGCCTTCATTGATTCCTGC